CATTCATCTTCATCTCCATTGAACAAGGTAGAGTCAATGTTGTCTCTACTTGACGATCAGACATGGTCTTTGTCCAACAGACTGAACACATTCGACCGCTGCCTGGGGCACCAAAGAAGTCACAACCATTTAGACCTTAATTCGCCGCTTTTTTGCTCTTGCTGCATTTTCATAAAAAGTTGAAATGTGAGGCAAAAATGACCGTTTCTATTGTAGAGAATATTACTCTTCACTTTACTATAGTTGGAAATAGTGCCTAAACTTACTTCACAGTCACTTTGTTTACTTACTTTTTACCGGTAAAATGATGAATGTTTGTATTTTTCCTTTTCCTTCTTGCTTTTATGCCTCATACAGTCCATGTTTTACTATACAGCGGCATTGGTGCAACCCCACTTGCAAGGTGCGGAAAAGAAGAAGGTATGATCGTTGATGCTGTACAGTAGGAAACAATAAAGTGTCTAGTCTAGTATCTGATATGAAACATTTGTAAAAATGTAATAGGCGGACGGACGGCTATTAGTTTTCTTTCATGAGTAGGTATTACAAATTACAAATATTACATTAATAAGCAGACTCTGTACCCAAATAGTGGTACAGTGTGACATAATCTTATTTACTCGAATATTTGCAGTTTTGTAGTTTAAGTGGCAACTCTATTATTATATTTACACCTTTGGAAACTCGATATTTTAAATTTGAGAAGAAACTCTTAGTTTTAATTCAAGTTCAAAAGTGTAGAAAGCAATGTTGACCTCCCAGAGCATACCGCTCGGAGTCCTGACCGCTGTCAGCGGGATATCACTAGCTCGCATAAGCAGTTGGTAATATCCATCAGCTAAGTCGAGGGCACTGTACATTGTACATCCCACCATATTGCTCTGAAGAACATCCTTGCGATGAATCGGTGTTTGAGCCGGGATAGTGGCTGCATTCAGCTTATTGTAAGCATGCACTGTTCGCCACTTCCCATTAGGCTTTTTCACACAAAACGTAGGCGTAGAGTGAGGAGGCTTACTCTCACGTACCATGCCAGCCTCGTGCTTTGCACGAAAGAACTTGTCAATGACGACCACATTGTTCTCGTGACAGTGGCCATTGTCGCGTCACACAATATTTGGTTCCTGGAACCAAGTCAATCTCATGACGTATAACTCTATCCGGAGGTAACACTCGTAAGAGGATCTCTGGAGACAACATCTCCATATTCCTTCAACAAAGAAAAAAAAAAATCCAAAGGTTTTTTTTAATTTTTTTTTCCCCCCCCCCCTTTCCCCCCTTTTTTTTTTTTTTTAAAAATTTTTTTTTAAAAAAAAAAAAAGAATTTTTTTTTTTTTCTCCTTTTTTATTTCCTTTTTTTTTAATCGCCTGCCTGTAAGGCACTGCCAAACTCGGCAAAGGACAACTCGTCCAGCTCTAACAGAGCACTTACTGCGGGTATAGCTGAATGAGCCACCGGCTCTTCAACATCCCCAGTCAAACCATTGACGAGTGTATATAGCTGTTCGCTATCACCGTCACCCACGATATCATCATCGCTACTCATGATGCTCTCAACATCCGACGCCTCAGCGTCAACAGGTGTACACACCTCAAGGTCAAAGACCACTCCATTTACTGACTGCACCCCACCCTCTTGGGTCAAAGCTTCGTCATGGGGTGCTTGTATATCGGTGTCCTCACAGACAACCGTCATTTTTGACTTCATTTGACCCTCTTGGGCCAGTACCTCGTCACTAGGTGCATGCACCTCGTTGTCTTCAAAGATAACATCTATTGCTGACTTCACTCGACCCTCCAGGGTCAGTACCTCGTCGTTAGGTGCATGCACCTCGTTATCCTCAAAGTCAACATCCATTTGTGACTTCACCCGGCCCTCCAGTGTCAGTTCCTCGTCACTCATGTCACTTGTGACTCATGTCCTGACATCTTGGCTTGCAGCCACCAACACCACTCACGGTGTTTAATGATGTAACATCATTCTCATGACACATGTCATATGTGCCATCTAGTGGGTTCTCAACCCCACTATCGACAGTCCTTGGGCCTCGCCCAGGACTATTGTCCTCGACACTTACAGTGTCTACAAAGTCGGATATTCCGACATCCAACATATTGACCGACTCGGTCCAATATCCGCGCCAAAAAGCGCTTTTGCTTCCTAGCAGAGGTGGGTTCATGACTCTCCAGAGCCCCACCAGAAGCATTGCGCGTTGCGTCTAAGGTCTTTGACCTCCAATCAATCCATGGCTTATGACGTTCTAGCCATGCTATGCCTAGGATGAGGTCATACCTCGCATCCAGGTCTAAGACCAAACAGCGTTCCATGCTGTTAAAGTCCAAGAACTTTACAACTAACTCCATCGAGACTTTGGGTACCGTAACACGCGTACCAGTCGCTAAGCGAAGTGTGACTGTGTCACTTTCACGCGCTACAAGCGCTTCAGCATACTTCTGACTACCTTCCACGGTGGCACGGCGCACATAATTGCCCGATGCCCCCGAATCGATCAAAATGATCCATGGCTTATCATAGCCCTTAATCGTCCATTCGACTAGTAGCAAGCCTGACTTGCATTCTCTTTCCATTTTTGAGAGTTCGAATCTCTTTGGGGCTGGGCCCTGTTTACTTCTACCTCTTCAAGGTTCAACAGACTCAGTTCTTCCCCAGTAGGACGCCCCGCGCCTACTGGGCTCCGTCGTTTCCCCGCGGCAAACCAGAGGGTGTTTACCATGGGGCGTCGGCCCTTCGAGGCCAAATATGCCTTTCAGGCAGGACATTTTGCCATCAAATGGCCTGTGCTCTTGCAGATATAACATCTGCGCACAATTTGCTGCTCCGCAGCTTGAAGCTCAGCTTCTGCATCCTCCACTTGGCTACAGTCCGTGGGTACAGACAGACCCATCAGATGAGTAGTTATAAGTGGCAGGCCTAGCAGCCTTAAAGTTGGTCTCGGCATTCCATGCCACTACAACAGCTTCCTCGAATGAGGACGGGTTTACCTGGAAGACTTCCGTTCTGGCAACGCCAACTCGGAGGCCCTCCATAAAGACCGTGACGGTCACTGCCTCAGGCATAGGGTCTATGACCATGGCAGCAATGAGAGTTCTTAACTCTTGCACATATGCCGCAAGCTCACGCTTGCCTTGGCGACACGCCAAAAATCGCGACCGATTACGGTGTGCTTGGCTTGACGGTGCATAATGCCGTATAATTGATACTCCTGGTCGCCGTTTAGCGTGGAGAGCACGTGAGTACTAGTAGTAAGGTCAAGTCCTCACAGCAGCGGAGTATTCGTACGAAAGTAATTGTACTATTTCTACATATCCAGTAATTGTACAGTATCCAGCATTCGAACCATATGCTGAGATGCTTATACCTAAGCAGGCGCCATTGAGTCGATGGATGCTGGTACCCCAGTGGTATGTACAAGAATTATAACAATGGGTCTGACTAGATTTTGAAAAGCTCATAATGTTTGGTATTGTTGTATTTGATTGATTGTGTGTGTGGATGTACTACAGGCTATTATGGCAGAAGGCAAGGAACATGCCATAGCAATTGGTATCCTCACAATGTCTACCGATAGCATTTATGTGCGACGTGATATGTGAAGATTGGTGAAAGTGCGACAATGACTTATTTTTGTATGTGCAATCGAGATGATGCATTTTCTCGGCGATGATCTATGGACATGCTCACACATCAATTAGATACAAGTTGACAACGATATTAGACAGAAGAGAAGACTTGTGAGTCAAAAGAACACGACGAGTTGAAGATGGTGCTTACAATGCATTACAATCCTGGAGTTTGTTTAGCTGAAGCTTTACCGGTGCAGGAATTTCTGCTTCAATGGCCTATTTGGACAGACTTGGTTATTTTACGCAAAGCAGCTATGTTTCATCCGTGGTGTGTTTGGCACAAACATACTCATCGCTTCAGCTGTTCCCGCAAGCCACAACTGATTTCTCACGTAATGTCCATTCTAGAAGTTGCATCTTCGCCAGTCGTTGATGCAGCCCTATGTAGATTCGAGTCAAAGCTATGTGTACTGACGTTCGCGATAGCACGCTGCCCCCCTCCCATTAGTGAATTTCCTATCGTAAAGGCAGGAGTGTTACTCGGGAGCGGGCCCAAATCGACTGTCCCGTTACTCTTCTCGAATTGCTTTTACTTCATTTGTGCTCATGTTAGCTGCAACAACCTTGTCTCCCGTAGCATAATCCAACACATCTTTCACCTCGAAAGTTAATTTCACCATTACGTTATAGTACGCCCAGGACTGGCCATGCCACCGTCCATATTTATTCAGCTTCACCTTGTGGGACATGTTGTCACCCCACTCAGGTAGAGTATCACCACTTGAACTCTTGCTCAAGTCTCGGCCGGATGTTTAGGTAGATTTCCGCCACTTGAACTCTCTTGCTCAAGTCGCGGTCGGATGTTTAACGTTTAAATTCCCTTCCAAACGGAGCTGCTCTTTGCACACACACTTACAGCATTTGCTACTAATGTTGCACAAAATGCTTCGTTACGCTTACGCCTCGTTCAGGCTTGGGCTCATAACCCTGTTGCAATCTCCTATGCGTCAGCTTTGTGTAGCTAGTTCAAGAAAACACCGGATATGTACTTCTGCTGCTAGTTCCAGACTGAGTACCTGTGTCGTTTCGAGCTGCCGTTATAGCCACTGTTCTTCAATGTCTTGTCCCTCGTTATTTCAACTGCCACCTGCCACGAGCATAGATAACAACACAACTCGGTACATATTCGACGTAAGCTATGACACTGTAATTGTATTACAAAGGAAAGATTGCTTCTACTGCTTAATCGCCAGCCTCCTTTTTTGCTAGCAAATGCTGATGTAAATAAGTAGTCTAGAGATGGTTTAGTTGTAGTGGATAGCCGTAGACATGATACAAATTTTGTAATTCATTTGGTTGATGTATGTAACCCTGGTACACTCTCCACTTTCCATAACGTTACCACTTACTAAAATATGACCACAGGCGGCAAATCTCAGCGCAAGAGACTGCGGTGACAGTTAGAATTCTACTTGAGCGAAAGCAATCGCCGCCAGGATAAGCTCTTACAACAGGCCATGGACAAACAGGGCTTTTTCCCCGTGCGTGTGTTTCTTTCCTTCAACAAGTGGTTTCATATGACGCATATTCACTCGGAATACTTTTAGGCTGCTGCTAATTGGACGTTCTAGATTGAAAATACTAAAGGCAACCGAGCGCATGATCCTGGACGCAGCAGAAAATTCTTTGACAATTCAAGCCGATCGGTCGCGCTTTTGCATTGCGCCAAAGATTATGCCAGCGGCTGGCCTGGATGACAGTGCAAGTGCGATACTCACGTACACGCGAGTTTGTTGCCACGAATAATAGTTTCCTAACCATACAAACGTATCTATATCTCTATGCAGTAGATGCCCGTACAATTTATATCGACAGCTTCGGTGCTACGGATGATCATGATTCGCTGCGACAGGTTTTTTGCTCAGTTCGGCAAGGTAAAGCTGGTGAGCCTGCCGAGATTCCAGCAAGACAAGAAGCTCAAAGGATTTGGTTTCATAGAGTTTTCCGATCAACAGGCTGCTGACGCTGCTGTCAACTACGTCGGATGCAAATCTGAAAGGAATTCGCGTTATGAGGAAGACGCGATGGCTTGAGATGAAGGAGCAATTGAAACGTCAGTTGTACCATAACGATGCAGCTGCAGTTGGTAGTAGCAAAAATGTTATCACGCAAGACGACGGAATATAAAGCTGTGACTTGGGTAGTATTGCCACTGCTAGAATTGGGATAAAGAAGCCTCGGACATCAGCGACAAAAGATCATGTCCACTTCGATGACGACGACGCTAACGATGAAGGTAATGGTGGCAAAGAGCAACTAAGAAGCGAAAAGTATAAACAACACTTGCATCGCACGTTTCTATTGAATGCGATAAGCTGCCGGGTCGACAGATTGGCAATCGTGCTCATTTCTTTACGGCTCTTGCTCGTGGCGTTGTCAAATTGAAGGTCGTAAAGTGAGCTAAGATTGAACACGACCACGCCGTTGAGAAAGCGTTGCGGGTTTGACCGAACCATTCGCTCCAGCGCAGCAATAGCTGCCTTTACATCACAGCAGTAAAGTGAACAAATTGCATAGTTGTTGACAGCCGAGCACACAATATCCTCATCAAGAAATAGCTCAGCATCAGAGTTAGACAATGTCGAGACTTGTGTGTTCTACAAATTCAAAATGGAGTCAACACGCGCGCAGCGCTTCTTGCAACTCATTCTGCGTAAAAAATATAAACCATCATTTAGAAGCAAGCGCGCTTCTAGCGTTTTTACGACCTCGGCCGGTACTACAGTGTCATTGCTAATGCCAATTTTCAATTGGTTAGTGTGATAGCGGGCACCACCGAACAGCTTCTTTGCAGCCGTTAGGTCACTCATTTGCAGATGGATGCGCTCCCTCGGGACAGTACGACTACTTTCTCCGTAGCGTCCAAAAACTGAACCTGTAAATCAAGCGCATAATGTCACCCATAATGTTAGCCAGCAGCACGTTAAACCGCGAAGCAACCATCAGCCCGCCAGCACGTACAGCAATCTGCGAACAGATACGCAAGGCCAGCATGAACTTTTGCTGTTGCACTAGATGATTCGCAAGCGCAAACTGTGCAATCCGTAGCCACCGTGCAGCTAATTTCACTTCAACGCCTAGGAGCGACATTGTCTCATTCTTTCGAATTGCACTTTCTAACCGCATTTCCAAGTGAAATAGCTGCTTCTCGTGATAAACCGCTTTTCTTTGGCATTTGCTTAGTACTGCTTGAAGAAGAAATAACGAATAGGCACGAACGGTGTTGCCCCCGTCCGTAACTGATATTTCGTAAAGGTTTCCAACTTGGTCCAGTACATTAGCTGCATTCTCATAGTGGCCCTCTTTGATAAGACCGGCAAGCCACCAGGACCAATTTCCAGCGTCATGTTACTATCATTCGATAGGCTTTGCAGCATCAAAAGCGACTTTTTTGTCAATGACCTCCATTGCTTCCGAGCATACAACATTCCAAGCCTTTTACGGTGTCCGGGATGTTTGCTAAACGAAACTTTCTTGACGGAAAGGCCACCACCTCAAAACCGGCAAAGCGAGTATCAACTGGCATTTTCAAAATATCGTCGACAAGCTCGTCCACAGATGGAGCTTCACGCGTAATTTGCAATGAGAAAAACGTGGCACTTTTACTTCAGATGGCGTCGATGTTGTCGGACACGGGATACTTTGGGCAGAGAGCGTCAGTAGCTCCGGGGTAGTCGCTGATGGTGCAGAAGTGAGGAGCAACTGCGACCTAGTGTTCTCTCCATAGCCCAGAAATGGTGGAGCAGGAGGAGGTGCTTGTCCAAACGGATGCAGCGACAGCTCTTGCTGCTGCTGTTGATACGGTATATATCCTTGAGTAATTCGAGGACGGGGTTGGGACCACCCAAATGGCGATGACGGGAAACCCTGCAAAGAACTTATTGGTGACTGCTACGATGACGCAAAACAGATGTGGACTCTTTTTCTGAGTTGCCAAACAAGTTGTTGTAGACGTTTTCCTGACTTTGCTGTCCAGGCGAAGAAGTTCGACCACATAAATCTGCAGGTAAAAGCAGATTAGCTTTTTCCTGCACTTCGCTGTGAGCTTGCAGCATGGAAAATGGAGGAACTGACCCTGTAGGGCTGCCAAATGGGTCGGGCTTCGATCGACGCTGCTGAGACGACAAATGTGCAATTTGCCCAAAAAGATCGATTGCAGATGGCGGCGCAGCTTGTCCGAGCATATCATATGCAGCATTTGGTTGAAATGGAGGCTTGTCAGCAAAAAGCGATATGAGGGGTTCAGATGAAGCGCTAGCCATCGACGCCGATAGATGTTGCTGTGGAACTAGCGGCGTAGAAAGTTGCGTTGGTGTAGTGCGCATTTCGTGACCTGCGCAGCAAAATTATACACTATACGCCTTTATTTTGTGTCAAGACAAAACAGCAAAACTAACCTTGAAGCTGCCCAGGAGTGCCAAAACCATGTCGAAAGTTGTTTACCATCGCCACCGGGCTACATACAAGAGTGTTACAAGTAAGAAAACCTGTGTGCCTTACCCATGTTGATAAAAAACATCTACCCTGAAAAAAGGGAGAAGATTTTGCTGCTGAAGAAATGGCAGGCTTGCTGGTATTGATAGGATCTTGTGCTGGCGGCTGTTGCGTGCCATCTTGTAAGAACGATTTGCTTTTGAATTTGCAAAAGTGTAATAAGGTTAGCCTTTCAGAATTGTTTATTAATTATCAAGGTCTTTGCTTGTATAATTAAGCACCGAGAAACTAAAATATGAAGGTTGAGCGTTTTACGAGCGTTCCGTTTTCGCATAAAAAGCTCTAAACTCGAATGCAGGTAAGCGTGATACAAGCACATGTTTGTTGTTGTTCGTAACAATAACCTTGCCCCTTGTAAGAAAATTCTGACAAGACGGGTACGACCACAACTATTAATTTCATTGCTTCGTTTGTGAGGACCATGTCAACTACCACGCCGACCCTTTACTTCAGTAAGTGAAAATTTGGGTGATTAGAAGACTCATCTCTATAAGGCAAGGAAAACGTCGATGTTTTTGCATTGACTAATCTAATCTGCAAAAGGTGAAACTTTGTACTTTGTGCAACTAATTTTTTTTAATATTTTAGTGCTTCCACGCTGAATGCAATTTTCCCTGTTCATTCATCTCTACTCCCACGTATTGTGAAGTTCCAACGACTTCATTCTTCCCTTTTTTATTTTTAATTATTAAAGTGCTCAGCACTTGCGCCAAAAAGCCTCTTAGCGTTTCACCCTTGCTCCTTGAGCATTAAGTGCATAGCACTTGATTCCAAAGTCCCTTCGTGGTCAAACACTTGCTTATAAAGCCTCTCAGTGTTACCAACACTTGCTCCTTAAGCACCTCCAATCTTTGCGCTTCAAGCTTTGATTCTGACTAAGCGTTATACTATTGCATTGCTGCTCATAAAGCTGTTGCGCCATCTTACCATGGATGATGAGATGCGCCGCGACATCTTTGGAGATGATGACAGTGACGTTGCCTCTGCCAGCGACACCGAGTCTCCGTCCGGTCACGGCTTCCACACTCGCAACGCTCACTGAGTGAAGAAAGTAAAGATCGCCAGATCGTCATAATTTTGGAAGGTAATTTGACGTGTATATAAAAATATATTTCCTGCTCGATAAAAATCATCTTCATTTGAAAGATCAAACATAGATCTGGAAAAAGATGCCTCTTACCCCTCCCCAGGTCCCTTTTGGGACCCTTGCAGAGCGCGTCAGGAAGCGCGACTCGCCTGTGAATGACGGCAATTTTATCAAGTTCGAAGTATGGAGCTGAATCAGATGGCCTCCGAATTATTTTGGATAAAATCGAAAGCGCTGTTGCTAATGATCTGGTGCTCATGGTCATTGTGCCAAAGCTGATCGGAGCGTTAAAAGGTCCAGCATTGACATCGGCACCGATGACGATCACGTTGAACAAGATCCGACAGATGATGAAGCTGTTACAAGATACTAGATTTACTGCTTGATCGTTTGAAGCTCACAGACTACTCAATTGTGATCAAGATCAGAGCGCGATTGCTGTTTGAGTAGCTAGTCGGTGTAAAGGATTCGACGCATCACCTAAACATGCAGACACGAGACAGTCCGAATGAGTACCATACTGGATCGTCGCGATTTGCCTCAGCAGAATCTGAAGCCTACTTGTAAGAGTCGATCAATATCGACAGGATGTCGTTTGGACCTACGGGTGAGGTTGTCGTACCTCGGTCTTTCTCCGATTCCGTTGGTATGAGAAAGATCTTCCCTATTCCGTCTTCGTTGTCCTGACTGCCCAGGCTGAAGCCTTCAGCGTTAGACTCCTCCGGATTTGCTCCAACTGCATGAATGGAATGGAGCTCATATTCCTTGTTCAATCAGGGTGCATCGGTGCTTTCTGGCGAAACTTGCTTGACCCAAATAACATCTTGACTTATCGTGCCCTCGTCATTTGGGCGCCCTTAGCACATCCTCCAGCTCTTTCACATCCGCCAGACGTAACACGGTCAATGGTTCACTAGTTCTGGGTAAATAAAGGTTTTGCCATGATTTTCGAAATGTTTCTTTTGTATCTTGGTGGCCCGTCTTTGATCTTAATCTTCGCCCTGAGTCCAATGACATTAAGATGGTATGATAATCCAACGGGCATACATTCGACCTCTTCTTTTCATGGCAATATTGGCGGGCCACTGATGTCCCCAAACCGCAGAATTGCATCTGAATTTCTTGTAGTAGGTCCGTTCAACTCTCTCAAACAGATCGACCTAGTTGGCTGTTCAGTTTTGGACTGGTCCGGTCAACAGTCCTCCGAAAACGAGACTGGTTTCTCTATCTGACGCTTGATCACGTTTGAATGCGGTCTTCACAGTAGTCACCCAGCTGCAAGCTTGGACTTCATCTTGATCTCTCCCAGGGCTTGATACGGGGAACCACGTTGCGTGCATGTACTAGTGTGACAATGGCCACTCTCACTAGTGGTCCTTCAAGGTCCATGTAATCTGGATCATACTCGCATGAACCGACCGATTCCATCTACACATCAGTCATCGCTTGGTGTCTTGAAACTTGTACACCTGAATGGGCCGTCGACCTTTGCGAAGAAAAATTATGGCATTGGTGCGGATTACGTCGCTATCGAATGATAGTGGTGTGGAGAATGAAGTCGCATATTGATCAAAATAAAATGGGGTGAGGTACGGAAGGAACCGCGATTCCAGTGGCACCCATCGCGATTTATTTGATCAAAGACGTTAGTCATGCGGTTCAAACACCTGATCGATCAGATTCGACGATCCACTCGATCAAAGAAGATGGTGATGCGGATTGAGCATTTGGTTGATCGAATTTAAAAATCCACTTTAAAAGAAGATAGTGAGTCGAATCGCGCATTGGATCGATCGGAGTTGACGATCTATACCTCAAGTACTCTCGCGATCGATCCTTCGCCCATGATCGCCACTGAACCTATTCCAGCCGGATGATTATATCCCTAATGAATCATTCTACTATCATATAATATCTGGAGAAATATGTGCTGAGGTTGTGGATCAAAATATGGCAGTCTTGCCAGAGATCGTAACCCCTACAGTGGAAGTGACGATCGACAATCGATGATATTCCAGTAGTTAATCCAGGTATAACTCCTACAGATGATCAAGAACAGCTACGTCAGTTGATCTGGATGGACCGTCACCTTTAATTGTAAAAGGAAGCGCACTATCTCCGGCATTACGCAAAGTAGTTTTGCGATATTAATGTTGGTAGAGCAGCCTTGATCGCGCAATAGGTACATACGCCAAATCGCGATTGCAGACCAAGTCAACTAGGATCGGATCGCATGGTGTGGGCCGCATACTCCAGATCGCGATCAATATTAAAGAGACGCGTTGTGGTGGGTTCTGTCATACGAGTAGGCAGGTTTTTGGGTTTGTTGGACAAGATTAGTATTGAATTTGCCAGGTAATTCATAAGCGTTGTATTGCCTTCTAATAGTGTTTGATATCTTTGGCACTGTTGCTTAGCTAATACGAAGGTATCATATAGTACACGCGTTCTTATCTCTTCCAGTTGCGATCAATATTCTTGGCCTATCTACATTGGATACACGGCTTCGTCTATCCAGCATGATCGTGACCATTACTTTGTTTGGATCCACTATTATCTGATCCAAGATCCGTGGGACTCTTCGTGCGATCTGCTGAAGCAGCGACGCAAACGTTTCGTTGATTCGCAACAGAATCCGATCCGTTAGTTTCTGATTCCTATCCACTGCTGTTGGATTCGATATGGATTGATCGCACTGCGTGGGTAGGTTTTGACGGTGCCGGATCGGGTGGGATAGCAGATCGCTGAAGAAACTGGCGCGATCCCATCGATGCTTTACCTTGTCGGGACACCATACGTTGATACGCACGTAATTTTTCCTTCCCCATGGCATCTGCATCTTCCGATTGTAATAGCGTAACTGTTTTTCCAGATCGCGATCATCCAAAGTTTTAAAGAAATACTCCACATGCTCACGACGTGCAGTGGGTGATCCATGTCGTACTGGAATTTTCGCTCTCATTCCCGCCACCTTGAATCGATACAGATACTCTAAAGGAGTTTCATCTGATCTTTTCCACGCCTAATAAATATTGCATCCCAACAAATACACCATATCCTTCATACTGAACCATGAAACTTTTCCAGAGTAGTTTACAAGTGTTTCGCATCGATCGGCTTAGCTGGACATACCGGATTCACGCCGGTACCGTAAATAAATCGCTAAAAACCAAACACTTTTCTACATCTGGTGCCTGATCGGGTAGAAATGCGGAATTGACTTTTCTGGTCCAAATTCTGGCTCGATCTTCGTCCTTGTCTTTACCTGAAACCTCTTTCAGATCTGCTATTGCCGAGGATCGAATACGCTGAGTGGTAAATCCACACATTAGCCTCTGCAGTTGCTATCAACGTTCTTCGAGGATCATCTAGGCCAAAATCGTTTTGATCGTACTCTAGTGAACTTATACCACATGTACCCACTAATTCCATGTCAACATCCAAGAGTATGATCGGCAATCCAGGGAAATTTTTTATCATTCATCTTGGAGCAATTGTCCCCTGTCTGGTATGTCATTTGCGAACAACTTATCCGTCTCAGCATCGAAGTATGGTCGTAACTGACTCGATCCGGCCGGTTCCATATTTTTCAATCGAGGGTTGATGTCTGATCGCGGCTCGGCCTTGATCGGAATCTTGCGATCACGCAATGATGCTGCCAGGGACCGACCCGGCAGAGAGGTCGACCAGCATCGACCCTTGACCAAGGTCCTCAGACTCCCGCACGGTGTCACGTCTCGAAATACAAGATGTGCGCAGGATTGTTGACCATCTGTAGACATAATAGCTCACCAACGTACAAAAGATCATCTGGAAGATTTTGATCAGGGCTACAAGTATATTTAAATCACGTCAACTGCGATCGGACGCAGCGTTCAAGCAAGGGACCTCTACGAGACGGCTTAAGTGGTCAGAAAGATCTACTAGACGGCTCAAGATGATAAACAAGGAAGAGAAGATCCAGTTTGGATTAGGCAGCTTTTAGCGCCAGTGCTTACTGAGCTCGCGTGAGGAATCTCCACGCGATCCACC